TTATATAGCAGTCGGCTGCTCGCAGACGAAAGCGTAGAAGCATCGAGTTGTTCGCTATCGAAGGTTCTCGTTTAGAATGTACTAGTTATCGGCTTCTCGCTATGGACGGCTGGCACGTGAGTTGGGTATTGGCAGCATAACGTCTACGGTCACTGTCCTACGTAGACGGTGGTAAGCTTATGCTGTAACTACCCATCTTACATGACATCCGTCCAATACAGCCGATTGGAAGTGCCATATGCACACATGAGCTGTCGTCGCAACTGACAGCGCGTAATGTTGCCAGCTGCCAGCGTGTTTGAGGAAATTTATAAATTTCGTCTACGAATTTCATAATTTATATATTTGCATATTAACGCCAATCAATGAGCTATATGGTAATAAATATATAATTACATATTTAGTTATAATATCCTTTGAAAAAACTATCAATTTTCCTAGTTTAATTAATATTAGTTTTAGAAAGTCAATACTGGCAACTTTGTATAATTTTGACGAAAATTATATATTTGTACAGAAGTGAGCAAACACACTACACTGGCAGCTGGCAGGATTTTGCCGTTTTCAGCACCGTCGATAACTCGTCTAATTACCTCGCTCTAGAAGTGTTCTGTGATGGACGGATGGTTTGTAAGATGGGTAGTAATAGCATTAGTCAGACACAGGCTACAAACGTTCGTTGGTGTTTCTAGTATTACGAGCATATCTCACCGAACAGTGCCAATATAATGAACTGTCGATAACAACTTCGATAATATTGTTTATGGCTATTGGGTATTTCTTGCACTAGTATAGGTACTGCTTTCGTCAGAGATTATCTCCTTTTTCGTGTTGGTTATATTAGTAACATATACTTTTAGAATGGTTGTACGGCCGTACAATGAGGAATTAAAATATCTTGAAAAAATCAGCGATTGTTGCTGGCGAATAAAAAAAGAATTTCAACCCAATATGAAAGTAGAGGGTTGTTTTTATGTAAATAGCCGATTAGAGAGGCTGATGCTGGAAGAGTTAAAAAATTCTTGTAGGCCGGGAGCTGTTGGAGGTTTCTTGCCTGGAGTGAAGCAAATAGCAAATGTAGCGGCCTTACCGGGCATTGTAGGTCGTTCTATCGGTCTTCCAGATATACATTCTGGATATGGGTGAGAACAGTGCTGCTGCATACATCCTATTTCAAAAAATAATTGGAAATATTTCAGGTTCGCTATTGGAAATATGGCAGCATTCGACATGAACGATCCCACTTCAATTGTAATTTCCAAAAATTTTGAAAAGTCATTCATATACTTGAATATTTATTTGTGCAGGTAAGCCCCGGAGGTGTCGGATTTGATATTAACTGTGGAGTTCGCTTACTGCGAACAAACCTCTTCGAAAAAGATGTTCAACCAGTAAAAGAGCAATTGGCCCAATCTCTTTTTGATCACATACCTGTTGGTGTTGGGTCAAAAGGCATAATTCCTATGAATGCTCATGATTTGGAAGAAGCTTTAGAAATGGGAATGGACTGGTCTCTTCGCGAAGGATATGTTTGGGCAGAAGACAAAGAACATTGTGAAGAGTATGGTCGAATGTTGAATGCAGATCCTTCCAAAGTTAGCTTACGTGCAAAAAAACGAGGCCTGCCCCAATTAGGAACATTAGGTGCGGGCAATCATTATGCTGAGATACAAATTGTTGATGAAATATATGATAAATGGAGTGCTAGTAAAATGGGCATAGAAGAAAAAGGTCAAGTATGTGTTATGATACATTCGGGAAGTCGTGGTTTTGGGCATCAGGTGGCTACTGATGCTTTGGTGCAGATGGAAAAAGCCATGAAACGAGATCAAATCGAAACCAACGACAGACAATTAGCTTGTGCCCGCATAAATTCTCAAGAGGGTCAAGACTATTTAAAAGCAATGGCAGCAGCTGCAAATTTTGCATGGGTGAATCGCAGCTCAATGACGTTCCTTACCCGCCAGGCTTTCGCTAAAATGTTCACTACCACACCTGATGATCTTGATATGCATGTAATTTATGACGTTTCTCATAACATCGCCAAAGTGGAGAATCATATTGTGAATGGCAGAGAAAAACAGTTACTTGTACATAGGAAGGTTTGGCCTTATAATTACTCAGTATTCATAATACGGTATAATATCACCAATTTAGGGGTCCACGCGAGCGTTTCCACCACATCATCCCTTAATACCGGTTGACTACCAACTTACTGGACAACCGGTATTAGTCGGAGGTACAATGGGTACATGCAGCTACGTTCTTACCGGAACTGAGAAGGGAATGAATGAAACATTTGGATCCACATGTCATGGAGCAGTATGTTAAAAATTTTAATAATTTTTCAAATACTAATTTACGATTATTGCACAGGGTCGAGCTTTATCACGAGCTAAATCTCGACGTAATTTGGATTATAAGGATGTACTCGAGAAGCTGGAAGAAATGGGAATTGCTATACGGGTCGCATCTCCCAAGCTCGTTATGGAGGAAGCACCTGAATCGTATAAGGATGTAACTGATGTCGTTGATACATGTCATATAGCTGGAATTAGCAAAAAATGCATAAAGTTACGTCCAATTGCTGTAATAAAAGGTTAAATATAGTTAATTTTGAAAACTCTGATTTTTTACCAATGTATGGCTGGTGCCTTTAGCAACTCAATAGTCAAAAAAATAATAATTTAGGGGTTGACTGTGGGGTAATTAATGAATGCGAAGTTACTGAAAAGCATTTTTTATCATGGCGAATTAATTTTTTTCATTCAATCAAATTGAAAATTGAAAAAATTGTTATTCAGGTCATATATTATTAGCTTGAATTGATATTTTTAAAGCAATACAAATTCACACACGATAGTAGCAAACTATTATTTTCACTGCACCTATAGTGTCACCTAAGAGTTCACTATGTAACTGACTAATGTAGCGTTGGCAGCTCTCTTGTAACCTAATCAACCCAACCCAAAAGAACCGCCTTTTGATCTTTTCCAAGGTTTTTGTATCCCCAGAAGCCGTCCACTAGAACTATTGTGAAACTATCGGAACTACTATTATATTGCGGGAGCACTGGCCATCTCCATTTTCCCATACTCTATGCAAACAGCCAGATATCAACATTAAATGCTCTAATGCTCCCATTACGCCTTTGCGATTAGACGGTTGTCGTCTGTTCATATCCAGGCTTTATCTTCTTTACCTTCGGCTTTTGAGCATTGTTTATATCCCAAGCTACATGCCGTCAGTATATCCGTGGAAATTTCTTTTCATGTGTTCAAAAGTAAAGTCATTCCTTAGCAGTCTCTCAATCCACCGAACTAGCTGTCTTTCAGGATTCTTGAACTAAAATAGCCACTTCAGCACCGCATGATCCGTCCTTAACCTGAAATTTTGAAATATAGATATTAGCGGAACATTTTATGTAATCCACCAACGCTGGAAATTCTTTTTGAGTTACGCAGTAGTTCCGCTGCAGCTTTTCAATTGACCGGACATTTGTCTTCTCCTACCCGTCATTTATCTGTGAAAGTACGCCATCTGTCGCATAACCACTAACATCCGTATCCAGAATAAATGTTGCGCCTGGGACCGAATAGGCGTAGAAAAAAGCCGTTCCTTCAGAGTTTGGAAGGTTTCATCTTGTCCATTGCTCCACTTAAATGTTCTATTCTTCCTAGTAGGCTCATAAGGGCAATTCAGAACGAATCGACGGCAGTAAATACATAGGCCTTGGCGAATAATTCACTCCTTTTATCTTCTCCTTCGCAGTGCAGGCGGACTTCGTCGTTAACTGACGACAGAAGTAATCCATCTCCTTTTTAAGTAAGGGCAATTAATTAGGACTTAGTTTGAGACCAGCTCAAGCGATCTTCTAGAAAACTTCTTCTACATTGTTCAAGTGTGCCTCAAATCTTTTTCCTAACACGATGATATCGTTAAGATATACCAAACATGTTGGCCAATGTAGTTCCTTGAGCACGGTCCATTTATCTTTCAAAAGTTGCAGGAGCGTTGTATACTCCAAAGAGCATAGCGGGGAATTTCCAAAGACCGTTTCCAGCACTGAAGGTGGTCTTCCTCACTTACTTCCACTTGCCAATAACCGCACTTAAGATCGAGAGTCGAGAACCATTCTGTGAGCATCATTGAATCGCCGAAGTCCACGTAGAATCGTCTTTCTTTTTCACAAGTAATATCGGAAAATTCCATGGACTTTCAGCCTTACGTTTGGCACGAGGAGCTTGACGAATCGGCCTAGTGTCACCAGTATCAATGGTATATTTCAAAACTTTTGTCCTGCTTAGTTTGTTGTTGTTGTTGTTGTAGCGGTTCGCTAGCCCCGCTTAGGCACAGATTTGTTCAGTCTAAGTCGCCCAGGTCATCTAGTGGTAGGTCCAGGAAACGAGCTGTTTCGACGGGGTTGGACCACAGGGAGAGGGGGGTTAGATGAGTGGGTTTGAGGGGGCATGTGAAGAGGTGGTTAGTGTCGTGCGGGGACTCTCCACATGTCGGGCATACGTTAGGTATGCTGGGGTCTAGTCTGGATAGGCAGGAGTTTAACCTGCTACAATATCCAGACCTGAGTTGTGTCAGGGTCACGCGGGTCTCTCGAGGCAGCTCGTGCTCGTTGTCTGCTATGGGTGGTGGTATTTCTCCGGGTACGCCATTCACTGGAAGAGAGTCCATGAAGGTGTTGACTGACTCCTGATGAATGGCGTGGAGATTCAGCCTCTATTAGGTGCCTACTGGATTGCTCCCTGCGGTAGCTTCCCAATAGGAACTGCTTGCACAGCAAAGCATTATGCTTTCGTAGCATAGATGCTTCCCTGTGCAAGTGATGCTCCGGCGACATCAGAAGGTTTCCTGTCGCAGTTCTGAGGGCGGTATTCGGGCATGCCTGTAGCCTCTTCATCTGCGTCTCGTTCATTCCCGGCGCCCACATCCTTGTGTTTACCCCAGGTGCTGCCGGCTAGCGCTTTGAGTATTTTGTTGCGGCTCTGGAGTTTTGCGGCAATTGCGGTCGTATGCGGAGTGAAGGAGTGCAGGCTGTCTAGAGTTACTCCCAATATTTTTGGGTTATTTATCGTCGGAATTTTTTTGTCATCGACCTTTACATCTAGTTCAAGCCTGTATTCCTTCGTCCAGCTGGTGAAAAGGGTAGCCGAGGATTTTGTCGGTTGGATTCGTAATTGTCTTGCAGTGAAGAAGTGGGAGAGATCAGCGAGGTAGCCGTTTACTTTCGAACAGAGGTCATCAATATCCTTGCCGGACGCCATTATCGTACAGTCATCGGCATACGAGGTTAGGGAAACTCCTTCTGGTGGTGGAGGGAGTTTCGATATGTAAAAGTTAAACAGTAGCGGGGAGAGGACACCACCCTGCGGAACCCCCTGTTTAATTTTTCTGGGTTTAGATGTTATACCTCGGAATATTACCGATGATTTTCGACCACTTAGGTAGCCCATGACCCACCTCCGTGTAGCACCGCATGTAGCACTGAGTGATTGACTGTGTCAAAAGCTTTTGACAAGTCCAGTGCTACTAGGACAGTTCGCGCGCAGGGTCGGTTTTGGTTGAGGCCATGGACTATCTGGGTGTTTATGGCGTTAAGTGCTGTTGTGGTGCTGTGCACTTTTCAGAAGCCATGCTGATGTGCTTCTGGACGCAGTAAGGCCTCAAGTGTCTTCGCTACTGGGGAGGAGAGAGTTATCGGCCGATAGGACTCTCCTTTCTTGGCTGGTTTCCCCGGTTTAAGTAGCGGGCCCACCCTACCCATTTTCCACACGTCGGGTTTCTTCAGGGTGGTCAGAGACAAATTGAGGACCCTCGCGAGAAATTCTGCTCCCGCTGGTCCAAGATGTTTCAGCATCAGCATGCTTATTCCGTCGGGGCCGATGGATTTGGAGGCTTTCGCCTTCCCGATGACCCCCTGAACCTCCTCCCTGGAGAAATCAAGCACCGCGCTGGTGTTTGGCAGTTTGCGTATACGGCGGGTCACAGGTCCTTAGGTGCTCCTCCCACTTTTTCCTCTTATGACTGTTAACAACTCTTCGAATCTCCGCGTTTAAATCCCTGATTAGGGGATTCCCGGGATCGGAGCTTCGGAGAGTGTCGCGCCAGGTTGCTAAAACTGTTCTGTCGGAAAATTTGGGCGGATTTCCCCGGTTCGGCCTGCCGGGATGAAGCGGGCTACTAGGACAGTTCGCGCGCGGCAGCGGTCACGACGACTCTGTGGAATGAGCGTTAATCAGCGGTGACGTCAGTTGGAGTGGGAAGAGCACTGAAGGCGTTCTCAGTAAATTCCGTGAATCCGGGCCAGTTAGCTTTTTTAAAGTTAACAAATGTCTCGTGGTCCGCGGAAACAAAGTCGGGAGGCCTGTCAATCGAGATTTGTATGGGCAAGTGGTCCGATGCTAACGTCAGTATAGGTCGCCAGACTATACTGTTTATCAGACCAGCACTCGCAATTGTTATGTCTGGCAAGCTTTGGCAATCACCCATAACTCTGGTGGGGGTGTTTTCGTTCATTGTGCAGAATGTCGAATCGTCTATCTGTTCCGCCAGCTCCATTCCTCTACGGTCATTTGACAGGCTAGAATGCCAAAGATCGTGATGCGCGTTAAAGTCGCCCAAAACCAAACGGTTTTCGCCCCTGAGTAGCGCACCTATGTCAGGGGTGTATCCAGCTGGGCAACTTGTAACTGGAGGAATGTATATATTAAATATTTCGAGCTCGACATCGCCTGACCGGATAGCTATGCCCTGACATTCTAGGGTAGTATCCCTGCGGTCGATGTCGCCATCGATGAGACGATACTGCACGGTGTTGTGCAGGATGAACGCTAAGCCCCCGCCATGGTCTCGCTCGCGATCCTTGCGGATTATGTTGTATCCGGCCCTGTTCAGAAGATCTGATCGGGCGGTCAACTTGGTTTCCTGGATCGCAGCAATTGACAGGTGCTCCCGGCTCATATAGTCGACTATCTCGTCAATCTTTCCCTGGAGTCCGTTGCAGTTGAATTGTAGAAGTCGGGTCTGTCTCGGGGGAACGTTCGTGATTCGGGGAGTGAGGGAGTGATGCGTGGATGGTGTGTGTTGCTGCTGTACTACCCGCGAGAGTTGGTTCCGCACATTGGTGTTGATTGGCGGAGGGTTTGTAGAGACATGCGGGGGCAGACTCCTACAGCACGGGGTAACATACGCATCGCTCCACTCACGGGTGGTGCGCAGGCCAGAGCACGTCCGAAAGTGACACCAGCCAGAGCAAAAGTTGCATCTGACTGAGGTCACGTTCCGACGCACTATGGTCTGACACACGGAACAGACGGTGCGGGGGACTAGGAGCTGCTGGGTAGCCCTCGCACGCAAGGAGGATGAGGAGCTGGTTGTGGGTGGGGATGGGTGTGGAGGTTGGAGGGAATCATGCTGCGGGGAGCTCCGTAAGACCGTGGAGATCTGCAGATTACCCAGAGTGGGTATGTGTGCTGAAGGCACTGCCGTGGAGGCTGGGGGGCGGTTGGACGCTGGCAGCATGGGGCCACATAACTCGTGGTCCATTCCCTGTGGGTCTTAAGGCCTGAGCAGGTCTTAAGATGACTCCAACCATTGCACTGCATCTAACCGAGGTGGATGAATGGTGGAGTCTTCTTTGACACACGCAGCAGAAATAATCCGTCGGTCCAGGGTTGGTTCCTACACCAGCCCTGATCAGAAGGATTTGGAGCAGCACAGGTGCGAGGTGTTGCTCCGTTGACGAGCTTAGACTAAAGTTACCTGTAGACCTCAACGGTGTTAGGTCGCCGAAAGGGTGACAGCCTTGGCCGGAAAAAATCCGGGTCAACTCCGGTGCGTAGAACCGGCTGTCGTGAGAGTCGTGCTTAGTTTGTTGCTATCCTTGCCGAATATGTTGGAGTATTATGCTGGCATTTGCCGTCCATGCTTTCGTGTATATGTCTTCTATGTCAATGGGATCGGCTTCAGGTAAATCTGCAGTTAATGATGGGATCCCAACACAGATTCTTTTCGAAGCTTAATTAGCGACTTGAAATCATTTAATACTCAAACTGGGATGCGTCCGTTATTTTGCTTATTCCCCAAGGTTTTAGCAATAAGTTCGTCCGTCCGCTGCTTCGAAAGCCCCACAAACAACTACTTCTGCCTTTGGTGTGGTCTGTTCGTTGTCTTCTAGGACTACTCGCTTAATGTTGTATGAGCCATTTTAATGCTTATGCACAATGCTAAGCGGCTCCACGTTTTTGTACATTCTGTGATGCATATAGATGGTAATGCCTTGACCCAGCAAGAAGTCGGCTCCTGTGATGACCTCATCTACAATCAGCGCGGCTAAGAACTTGTGTAGCATCGTCACATTCCCTATGGGGGTTATACATATAACCTCTCCTAAAACTTGGGTGTCTATACCGATTGCCATTCTTAGTCTTGCTCCCGGCAATGGCCTCACCTCTTTTGGTTTAAGTCAAATCGAATAATGGAGTGCGAGGTGGCAGTATCCACATTTAGTATTCGCGCTTTGCTAGACGGAGATTAAACGTTTTAATTTAACGTCGGAGTATATGATGGCTCATATTCCTCAGCATTACATTTTCACCAACCTTCCTGTCTTTTACCCATCTTACATTCGCGTGCGAAGTGACGTGGCAAGTAAATCACCTCCCGGCACTGGTGTTTTTCAACAGAAGATTTCCTTCTTTTCTTAAATTTTCGCAGATACCTGTTCTATATCCATCACTGAATCAACAGGCTCCTGCTTCTCTACATTATTGTTAGATGTCTCTTTGTCCTCACGACAAAACTCGTATTAGTTCTAGTCAATACCATTCACTTCCATAACTTCTCGCAATGGTGATTGTAGCTCCGCCTATATCCTTTGGGAATCATTTAACAATACCACTTCTGATACCAAGGTAAGGTTTTTCGTTAAATATCCCTAGATGATTTCCCAAAACTCTTCCGAGCTTGATGTGAAATAAAATGTACCAAATTTGTTGTACAATTTTTGGTATTCTGGCGAACTGGTTACAATGTTTGAAAAAAATTTCGCAGCACTGCTTTTTTCGTCCATGTCAAATTACATTTGCCAGATGATAAAGTAAAAAGGAAAATCGAAATGGAAGATGGTGCACAAAAAAACTAAAAAGTTTTATTAATTTGTTTGTTAAATCATAAATATTTGAACCTAATTATAAAAGAAATGCCTGGACAACAAAAAAAGCTGAATGAAAACGTTATCTTACAAATTAAAGGGTTATTTTTTTTTGTCTCGAAAACTTTTTTAAAAAAACGGCTTTTTGCAACTATGCCAACCCATTTTGATTTTTAATTTTTTCTCAAACTAATAACACATACTGGGTAACAGTGGACTCAGAATACGAAATGGTAACAAAAGTTACTGAATGGTAAATTTTAATGCCTAGGTAAATTTTATTACCTCGACAGAATAGGCCTGTTAGTCGCAAACACCACTCTAAACATTTGACAAATTAGATATGTATCTCACAACACAAACTCACTTGCGTGTTTGAGTTGCGTTTGCATGTTTTTTTATTATACGCTATTGACAAAAATTACCATTTTATTAATTTTGTTATTTCATTCTTATCAATATACTGTTACGATTTTACTAAATCAACCTCGATTATTTTCTAAATCCTTCGGGTACGATCTCTGGATTGTTAAATAAAAACACGCCAATTCAATTTGCAGATTTTTTCGTTATAAAGATTTTATCTAATGTCCTTTATTTACTCCGTAATTCACACTTTAATTACAATACACTTTATTATTTACAATCACTATCATCAACTTTCACAATTTACTCTACTTAAATGTAATCTCCATCACGTTTAATTTACGACCTTACTGATGTTAACGCCAACCAGTTCACTTTGTCACTAACTTAACTTGGCAGCTGAGTGTCC